GGCCATATCGGACATCCGATATGCGTACCGAACGTCGGGTACATCATTTTTGGCTCAGAACGTCCTCGTTTCTAAATTTTGTCAAATGTAAGTGTTTGATGGACGTTTAAAATGTTTTTCAAAGTGTTTGTCATATTTAAAATATGTGTTACAATTTTACTTTTGAAAAACATAATTTTCAAGTAGAACATTTTTTGTCGTGATTTGTAAAATCAAAACTTTGAGCTTGTTATGATGCGTTGCCAAGTATTAAAATGTTTTACCTTTACATATAATAAGTCTAAGTATTTTGTTTTGAACATCTTGGCTTGCGCTTCTTGATAGTATTTCAACTTTTGTCTCGATTTTCGTTGAGGCATTTTTCGTTGAGGCATCTTTTTCCACGTTAGCCATTGTATGCAAATTACTTGGCCTCGAACTTTATGCCATCAAATATATTTATGTACAATAATCACTATAGACACTTAAGATCAATTTGTTAGTAATAAACATAATTTGTTTGTGATAATCAAAACGAGACGTCAACCATAGGTCAACAGCAAAATGTGGCAAAAAAGGACAAAATCCAATGTACAAGGACCAATTTGTATTATATGGAAGAATTGAGGACTTGGAAGCAAACATTAATTTAATTGGGTATTGGAATTAATTGGGCCTCAAGTTGGACTTTTAGTTGTATTAAAATATTGGTATATCAGGTTATGTGTGTGTCTATATATATATACTGAGATAGAGAACAAAAAAAAAAACAAAAGGAACAGCCGCCTGGCAGAAGGAAAAGAGAATATATACATACACATTCCGGCTTTATTGATATATATATTAATACACAGAAACAGGTAGGAAACATATACACACAGTGAGGGAAAAGTCAAAAGTGTTCGCTAATATTCTTTATATTTACACCTATCACGCAGAAAGACGGACAGAGGATGGAAAAACAAAAGAAGTTTCAATTTATTCCAGATTTATTCACGTTTCGTCAATTTTCGGTGATGTCGTTCCACTTTTGCTTGTTTAATTCCAATATTATGCTAGGCTGACTTTTTATATTGCTAAGATAGTGATGAACCCTTGTTTTGAAATTTTTAGTATTAACTAATTATTTTGACGTTAATTTTTTTGAATGCGTGGATGTTTATTATGGTTTAGTTTGCTTTTCAATTAATTGGCCACTAGTTAAATTGTTGTGGATTTTATTATCATTGAGAGAGGTAATAAGATCGTTAGCACACAATAATAAATATTGTGAGGTTCGATAGATGATAGAGATATACCTTTATGCCTTGCATGATTTTTTTTAGATGTTCTAGCTCGTTTAATACTTTCTTATATGTTGGCATCTTTTATAGAGATATAAAAATGTCATATACAGGATTAGATTTAATTGGTATGTGATAAATTAGATATAGATTTAAACTATTATTGCTATTCGATTAAGGCTATTATTAACTTTAACTCGATCAAACATGTAGTCCTTGTATGTTCGACACTTTACACACTACTATATTATTTGATCATGATCTCGTTCACTTGCGGGTTTTCAAACGGTCAAGTTCTTGGTGCCGTTGTCGGGGACTACTGTTTTTGATACATTTAGTTAATTTTATTTTTAATCTAAATTTTAATGTTTTTCTTTTGTTTAGTTTAATAAAAAAATTATTGTGTTTCCCGCTCACTTTTTCGAGAACATGTATACGAAATTCGAGAACCGGTGATCTTGTTCAATTTGACCCAGAGATCGAACAAACATTTAATATTCGAAAAAGACAACAGTTGGAAACATACCAAAAATAAAAAGAGAAAGATACGGCAGAGGGAAATCCGAATCAAATAGTCATAGGGGCTAATCTGGAAGCAGTACAACCGATTGTGGCCTCAGTTAATGAAAATGCCAGACTCATGGGAGAGTACATGGTTCCACCGGTTGTGGAAAGCCAATCTAGCATAGTATATCCGGTGTTTGGTCAGGTAAACTTCCACTTGAGGACTCATATGATAACATGTTCCAAAATGCATTACAATTCTTTGGGAGAGCTTCGGAGAATCCCAACGCTCATGTATCAAGATTTTTGGACATGTGTTCAACTATCGAGTATCTACGGGTGTCCAGTGAAGCAATCAGACTGAGGCTTTTCACATACACATTAAGAGACTCAGCCAG